AATGAGACTCTGTCCAAAAATTTAAAAAACACATTTAAATAAAAAGGTTAACATACATCTCGGAGTGGGTGAGAAAGAAAGTAGTAACCCCATTACCAAGTGAGTTCGCTGTGGCCAACGGTGCTCTCAAGTCCTCTTACTTGAGGACTAGTTATTGTCCATCTTGAGAACACACATAGACTGGGTTGTATCTGCTTGACTAATTAGAGGGTGAGACTTCCTTCTTCTTCCCAATCTCCTCAGCAGATTGCCTGTGATGTGCGTTACATTCTGGTTTAATGTTTAGTCAACAATAAAACCGTTTCCTTTCTGTTCCACTTTTCAGGAGAGGTTTTCTGGGTTGGCAGGAAGTTTCATTTTTAGTCGTATTTCATCAACACAAGTTATTCCCTGAAAACGAGAAGTGCTCCAATTTCCTGGTCCTCATATTTTCTCCATGTAGGAGAATCTTCAGGGAATCCAAATAATCTCTAGAAGGTTCCTTGGTGAGTGTTATGGGCTGTCTTGTGTTCCCCTCAAAAAGATACGTTGGAGTGCGAAGCCCGGGACATCAGATTGTGAACTTATTTTGAGACGGGTTCTTTACAGAGGTAATCAAATTAAGTGAGGTCATTATTGTGGGTCCTAATCCAATATGACGGATGTTCTTATAAAAAGGGGAAATTTGGACCCAGAGTCAGGCACACACAGAGGGAAGACGACGTGAAGAGGCACAGAGTAGGCAGCCGTCTGCAATACAAGGAGACAGGCCTGGAACAGGTCTTTCCTCCACCCCTCAGAAGGAACCAACCCTGGTGACACCTTGATTGGGGACTTTCAGCTTCCAGAATTGTGTGACAATACATTTCTGCTATTTATGCCATTCAGTAGTATTTGTGTGCGTGTGTGTGTGTGTGTGTGTGTGTGTGTGTGTGGTACTTTGTTACGGCAGCCCTAACAAATTAATACAGTGAGTATGGAGGCAGAGCAAGGAGATACTACAGCATGAATTAAGTCTAAAATGGCACTGACTAGCTGAGGCCTTTACCTCCCTGATAGGAGTCCCTTTACCCTGAGAACAAGACACATGTCTATCACCATCCACCACATAACCTCCATTCCCACCCCTAACGTGTTGGCGACACCGTGGCCCATCTTGGCTTTATGATTTCTTTTTCTAGCTCCTTGCAGAGCACTCCCAGGTCACTGCTGAATTCATGCAGATCTGAATCTTATTAAAAGTTCAGTGCAAAGCCATAACTATCAAAATAAATAGCACATTGACAAAGGATTCAGATATGTGCTTAGGGATGGCAAGAAATTTTATTCTAAGGTCTCTCTGTTCTCAATCAACATAACTTAGAGGATCTTCAAATAAGTTAAAAATTTATAAAAAATAAAAATATGTAATACATTTGAATGTGTCTGGGAACGCACTGCTAAATTTAGATTGACGTGTTTTGTCAATGAAATTGAGTCACAGTGTTTTGGAACCTGCAGCATTCGAGGGCAGGGCCAGGACTCCAGCCACCCCATGCTGTCACCCCAAGAGGGGAGCAGCCCCACGGACCCGTTTGAGCAGAGAGTGAGCCTCTTCGTCCCTCCAGGAAGGTGCAGCCCTGCACGTGGGCAGGGCCTGGGCATGAGCTGTGGGCTAGATTCCGGCTCCCCTTTGTTCCTTCACTCTCGGGATGGGTGTGTGCCATGCACAACCATACACACCGGGCCCAGGACACACAGATTGCAAGCCACTGCTATCTGTAGCGCAAGACTACACGTTGTTCCACTTTTGCAGCAAACCCTGCTTATGATATTAGAATCATGGGAAGGGAGGGTCTCAAAATAGGTCAGCTTTGACTTCAAGGTTGTTCCACACTGGCCAGGCAGTTTTTTAAGCCAGGCTGCCCCTTTGTACTCTGTAGGCTGTCCGGGTATTTGAGGAGATTCCCCAGAACTAGCCTCTCCCTTTCTTTTCCTGGTCCTGTTCTCCTTTTACTTTGATCTCATTCCTCTTCAACTCCCAGCTCTTCAACTCCCAGCTCTCCGTTGTGTGTTCCCTTGCTTCTATCTGCCGCTGGCTCCTCTAAACTTGATGTAGGTTCCACACTCCCTAATTTGGGGCCTGAGGCTTTCTTCTGGGTACTAGGCTTGACATACGAGCTGGGGTAGGAACTTTCCAGCCCTAGCCTCAGTCTACACAATCCAAACCCAGCTCTGGGACACTCAGCCAGAGGACAGCCCAGTCCCTGCCAGCCATCCCTTGTCCCCTCTGCTCTCCAGGGTGGGAGACAGATGCACGTGATGTCTGGGAGGACGTGCAGTGAACGTGCGTAGAACTCCTAGGAACTCTGCCCAGTGGCAGGGCATGCTGGCAATGTGCCCACTCTGTGAAGGTGGTGCAGTCCTGAGTGTTAAACAGTAGACAAAGAGGGGCTCTTCTATTTTTAAGCCCCCCTCTGTTAGCTTTGGCACAATCGCTACCGTGTTTTTTGTTTTGGATTTTTTTTTTGAGGCTAGGTCTTGCTCTGTCACCCAGGCTGGAGAGAAATGGCACTAACATAGTTCAGCGTGACCTCAAACTCCTGGGCTCAAGCTCAAGTGATAGCATCAGGCTCCAAAGTCATAACAGTGATATCCTTTGAATATTGGAAGGCTTTTCACATGTACATACAAACACACACACATATATTTATTTTTCACTTAATCCTCATAATTTCTCTGGGAGAAAGGTATTTTTCTTCCAATTGCAAATGAGCAAATGGAAGGGGAAGGGAATTTATAGCTCCAACCCAACCTGAGTTTGCTGGTTTAGTGAGTCATTGTTTTGAACTAAAATGCTGGCCTAAGACCACTGACAAAAACAAAAGCAAAAAGCAAAAATATAATCCCTCAAAACCACACACATCACTGGCAGCATTTCATTTTAGCGGAAGATGTGTGTCAGGTTTTACCTTCTGAATGACAAAACTGACCTTTATGGAGGAGATATTTCAGGTTAATCAGGAAGATGCATTGTCCAAAGTCAATTTCAATTGTTTTTTCTAAATTATTATTATTTATTAAATATCCAGTTCATTCTGGACAGAGGACCAAACAAAGAGCACATTTTCTCATATGAAATCTGTTGCTTTGGTGAACCAGCCACACGAACGGTGCTGGGCAGCCTGTGTTGTGCAGTAGCTTATATCTGCCTAAATAAACACGGCCCAGGCAACACGTCAGTTGAGTGGAGCAGAGACTTTCACTTGTCTGCCTCAAATCCATTTCTTCTTTTCTTCCTTAGTAATGGGACACTTACTATCCCAGTACTTGATATTCTTAATATTCTAGCTATTCCAGAATAAAGACTACCATTTCCAGCTACCCTTGAAGCCAGGTGTATTCATGGGACTAAGTTCTGGCCAATGAAATACAAATGGAGGTGTTATGGGCAGATCCAACGAGTATCAGGGGTGGGGATGAACACGTTTGCCCTTCTGGGTCCTCCTCCTGCACCTGGCCGGAGTATGGATGGGACTGCCATGTTGGATGGCAAGGAGGCAAGATAAAAAGAGCCTGGGTCCTCGACGATCACGGGCTGGCCACATCAGCTATGGATGCCCTTGTCCAAGTATCTTCTACATGAGTGAAAATTAAACTTCTATCTTCCTGAAATTTCTGTTATTTGGAGATTCTTGTTTTGTTTACATTCAAACCTATTCCTAATGAATAACACATCTTAGAAATACATTTGAATTGTGCTTCTATTGGGGAAGAGAATTCTTTATGCAATATCTCCCTGTAACATATTTATTTAAGGCTGCCTGACTTATGAACTAATGTTGCGAGTGGCTTATCCAAGTAGGCTTTAAGTTCCCAGAGGAATCACATTTGTTTCTTCACACTTACTGAGTACCTACTCTGAAAGTGTCTCCCTGCTCGGAGAAAGAGGTTAAATGAGAGAAGGGCCTTGCTTACAGGCACCTACAGTCTACTTGTGGAAGCAGATGTGTAAAAATTAAATTGTGAACTATAGTATATACTATAATAGAGGTGTAAAAGTGATATCGAGACAGATAAGAGAGTAATTAATTCTGCATGGAAAAAATCTAAAAAGTTTCCTGGAAGTAGACCCATTTCTCCTGAATCTGGAATGATAAGTAGGATTTCTAGAGGGGACCAAAGCAAAGTCACAAAATAAAGAGCCCAGCAAATAATCCTGTGTGATTAGAATGAATACAGGAGACAAGTCTGTAAAGGGGCCAGGAGTCACATCCCATCGTGGCTGATGCCTCGCTAAGGAAATGAGAGCCATCGGAAGTCTTGAGTCAGTGGAGTAGCACGTCCAAGCATGTGTGTTAAAATAATGATGCAGACAGGGCCTCGGCCCTTCAATCAGGGTTGGGAAAGTGTCTTATTCATTTGTGTTTCTCAGGGCATAATTAGAATCATCAAACCTTTACTCATCCAAAGTAAAGACTTTTTTCTTTTCTTTTTTGAGACGGAGCCTCACTCTGTTGCCTGGGCTAGAGTGTCATGGCATCAGCCTAGCTCACAGCAACCTCAAACTCCTGAGCTCAAGCCATCCTCCTGCCTCAGCCTCCCAAGTAACTAGGACTATAGGCATGCACCACCATGCCTGGCTAATTTTTTTTTCTATATATTTGTAGTTTTCCAGCTAATTTCTTTCTATTTTTAGTAGAGACGGGGTCTCACTCTTGCTCAGGCTGGTCTCAAACTCCTGACCTCAAGCAATCCTCCCACCTCAGCCTCCCAGAGTGCTAGATTACAGGTGTGAGCCACCACGCCTGGCCCAAAGTAGAAGTTCTTAAATGTTTATGAAAATGAATGTCAGTATTGGATTTTTTTTTAATTTTTAATTTTTTCATATTATGGGGGTACAAATATTGTTAGGGTTACATATATTGTCCCTGCCATTCCTCTCCACGCCCATCCCCTCCTCAGTATTTGATTTTTAAACATATGACATATTTGTGAAGTTTTCCAGGGCTGCTATAACAAAACACCACAGACTGGGTGGCTTAAATGACAGAAATTTATTTCTCACAGTTTGGAGGCTGAGAAGTCTGAGATCAAGGTGTTGGGAAGGTAGGTTTCAACCTGGGTCCTCTTCTTTTGGCTTGTGGGCAGCGGCCATCTGGCTGTGTCCTGACGTGACCTCCTCTTTGTGTGGGTTAGGAGCTGGGTTACTTCCTCTTGTAAGGACAACAGTCTTATCAGACTAGGCCACACCCTTATGATTTCATTTCACTATAATTACCTCATCAAAGGCCTTATCTCCAAATACACTCACATTGGGGGTTAGGGCTTCAACATGAATTTGGGGGCACAACCAGTCCATAATTGTATCATTCTGCATAATCTAAAAACAATTCAAATTAGCACAGGCCCTCTCAGAGATTACATTTTAAAATGGAAGATACTTATATAAGCAACAAACACATGGATATAAAAGGTCAAACAACTCCAGACTGATTAGACTACTATAGGCAATAGAAGTTAGTTCTCCCAGATAGGACTGGGGTGAGTTGCCTAGATCTTCATTCCCATTTAAAAGGGCGCTCCCTCTCGGCCATGCATGCGAATACTCTCAGGGCTAGCATTTGCACCACCTGAGAGCGACACCTCTTTAAATGTTATGCCCTAGCTGCTTTGCCCTTCCTGGTCCTGGCCCTGTTTCCAAATCTCCACCAAAAAACAATTTTGAAACTGTCTCAGTGTGAGTTCCTGCAGAAGCAGACACTGAGAGATTTGAGTCCAGGTGGTTTATTTGGGAGATGCAGGGACCACTGGCAAGGGAGTGGGAAATTCACGGAGAAGGAAAGGCAGGCAACAGTGCGTGAGTTATTAAAGCAGCTACCTCCATGAGTGGCTGGCTACATCCTAACCTATGGGGAACCCATGGAGCTGAAAACACTCCCCGGAATCAGACCACCTGAGGGAGAAGGGGGCTGGGGTATTTATACCCTACCTCTCATCAGTCTTTGTTGAGAACCGCTCTGGTGGCTGTGGCACTTCTGGAGCAAAGGAGGGGCAAAGTCCTCAGGTACAGAGATGCAGATACTGAAATTTAGGCTCCAAGGGAAATGGAGGGGTCTGGGGTGGAGGCATTAACACTGGCTGCTACAGAAACAGGACTCAGATATTATCAGAATAGCCTCCCCCTTCTCCAAAGCCTGGGCTCTCGGCCTGACCTACATCTGGGCGTTGGGTTGGCCCCAAGAGCAGGACTTCAGTTGCCCTTGGCTGTTGAGCCTGGAGCTAAAGAGGATGATCCAAAGATGCTGCACTGAGGATAAGTTAAATGAAAGCCAGGAGGAAGAAGAATCTAGGAGCAATGTCAACAGGGTTGAGGCTGGGAAGTCCCAGAGAAGAGAAGGGTTGAAGCAGACAGAGGATGGGAAACGAAGCCTGGAGCAAGTCCTGTACCCAAAGAGGGGAAGTACAGCCACAGTGGCTTTGAAAGACTCTCCCATGGCCCCGGGCAGGGGCAGGGAGGGAGCAGAATGAGGACAAGGAACAAACACATGTCTGTGTGGGCAGAAAGGAACACAGGGAGTTCTGAGACCATGCAGTTTCAGGGCCCAGAGGATCTGAAAAATTGTATTCCTGAATTTAGGTAACTGAAGCACCAACTTCTGCTTGGGCTCACAAGCGAGGGAGCTCACTGTGCCCTCCAATCCCCCTCCTCGGGACTCTCCTCTTGTCTCCAGCAGGGAGATCATGGAAGGCCTGTCATGGGGAACATGGTTCTCTTCTCTCTCCCTCTCTACTCTGCCAAAGTCCACAAAGGAGCCCTCTGGGATCACTCTGCCCACTTTCTTTTTCTTTTTCTTTTCTTTTTTTTTTACATACACTCATATTCTTTATTTCCAAACGCAAAGTAACGTTATATGAGGTGTACCTGATTCTCGGATAATTTTCAATAGCGTCTTGGGTTGACTCTTTTTCTCCTATTTTTACAACATTAACCCTGCCCTTCTCCCTACTGCAAGGCTATTCCACATGACACTGGAAAAGAACAGTTGCTCTTCTATTACCAGTAACTCTTCATTTTCTATGGGAATAAATCCCGGTCTTTACTGCACTGTGACGACACCTCCACAGGGAGGTGTGGTCTGTCCTTCCTCTGACCCCAGCCCTGCTCCCAGCACTCTCCCTGTGCCCTGGGCACCTCGCATGTCAGACTCCCTGACTGCATGTTGCTTTCAGAGAACGTGTTTTTATGAATACATGCCCAATCTTTTCCTTGTCTTCTCCCTTTTTTATATTTCACACATTTTATTTCTTTTACTCAAAATGTGCCTTTTCATATTTTCTGCTTGCTAATCTTGTATCCATTTTTCAATTCTCGAGTCCCACACCATTTCTTCCATGCAGGCCTCACTTTCCTCTCCAGCAAAAGTAGGTGCTTCCTCCTCTGAAATCTGACAGCAATTTCAGGGCAGTGTCATGGGTGTTCCAGTCTGTTATCCTTGCCGATGGTCTCCGGGCTGCTCCGGCGGTCTCTGCCTCCAGATCTCCTCCGCAGCCTCCTCCCGTGGAGTCTCCCGGGGTCTCAGGTACCCCTCCTTCTGGCCCTCGTCCGCTGTATGCTCGTCTTCTTGCTTCTTTTTTCTAATTTCTGCTAGAATCTGTCTTTTCTGCAGAGACACTCTGTCTGGCGGTGTTTCTCGTCTGCCATCTTGCTCTGGTCTTCTGCCCACTTTCTTACCTCCCTTTCACTCTTTGCCTCTACAACTCATTCATTCATTTACATTCATGCAAAAAAACTTTGCTTTCTATATGCCAGGCTCGTGCTAGGTGCTGTGGATACAAAGAGAGGGCGTGTTCCTATACCTTTATGACGCACGTGGCCTGGGGGAAAGAAGCTCGCCCTGTGTAGCTCAGTGGTTAAGAGCCCAGGTTTAGGAGTCCAGCTGCCTGGTTTTGAATTCTGGCTCTACTATTTACTAACTGTGGCCTTGGGCAGGTTACTTTACCTCTCCCAGCTGCAATTTTCTCCTCAGCATAATGGAGTTCTGCTCACATACGCACCACCAAACATCCGTGTAAGGATTACAGGAAGGTACAGCACTTGGCACAGAGCCCGGCAGCTGGTGAATAGTCCATGGCGGTGAGCAGTCACTGTTGTACCACAGTGCAGGGGGACCAGAGCCAAATATGGGGGTGCAAACGGATGCTTTGAAACAGACAGGCACAGTACTTACCCTGGGCCAGGGCAGGAAGTGATTTCAGGGAAGGTTTTCTAGGACAGAAGAATGGCCTAAAATGAGTCTTGCAGACTCAGCTTTGGATCCCAAGGACCTACCATGTAATAGGGACTCAAGTTATAAGTGTTGAAATGCTGGGCACAGACAGAAACCTGCACGGAAGGATGGAGACGAGGAAAGCGGGAGCAGTGGCGTAGACCCCACTCATCACAGCTCCTGCTCCTCTTTAACTGTCCTGTCCAGTGAACACCGTGATTCTCTTTCCCAGCAACTTTATGCCCTGTATTCCAGTAACAGCCAGTCGTCACTCTGGAATTGCTTTTGTAAGATAAGACTTTTTTCTTTTATTTTTGTCAAGTTTCATCCAGTTTCTATCTGGGCTTGGAAAGCCTTTGGCTGATTTCAGAGACTGCTGTCTTCTCTCTTTCATTTGGTACCGGAGAAATTTCAGGAACTTATTCTGGTGCTTTTGGGATATTCATCCATAGCATTGTCTAATGTCAAGTTAACATTTTAGGGATGATAGAATTTCTGAAAAATGTTCTTTGATCTTTTGAGTTATAATTAAGTGCATGTTCAGGATTTTAAATATTCAAGCTCTAGCACTTGTACCAGAGTGTGGAAAGACTTCATAGAGGAGTTATGCTTTTTAACAGAAGTTGGCAAAAAAGGATGTTGAGATTAAAGAGCAGGCAAATGTATTTTGGCAGCCGATGATCTTAGGCCTGGTGAATTTCTCATCATAACTCCCATTAAGCAAGAGGAGAAAGAGCCTGAGAGTAGGATCTTTAGAATGAAACCACAGCAGGAGCAGCAAAGGTTGGTTTAATTATGTTAAAAGCAACACCAAGACTGGAGAAATGCTTTTAACATTCCTACCGCATAAAAATAGTCAGTCTTGATATTTTGCTGCTAAGCAGTTGGGGAAATGAGTGTTTCTATTATGGCTAAAAGCCTGCAGATTTCTCTTATGACTCATCTCATGTCAGAATTCTAAAGGTTTGGCATGCGGAAGGGCGTGGAAGCCTCACATCCTCATTTCCAGTTAACCCGTTGATATAAAGTCAGGCTGCTCCTCAGGCTGAGTTTTGTGTGACGCTTCACTTCAGAGCATATTTTCTAGGCTGCTTTTATATTTGGGATAAGGAATGACTTTTCATCTCTAAATTAAAAAAAATAAATAAATGTAACGTTTTCTGTAAATGCCAGCAGCAACCCAGTGCACATACCCTTTATTGCTCTCCACACTCTGAACTGATACAAATATCAGAACTTGGCAAGTAACTAATATTTCTGAGATTCATTTTCCTCATCTGTAAAACAGGAATAATATTATATCTTCCTGGCTGGTTTGTTGCAGAAGTTCAATGAGTGAATACATGTAAAAAGCTTAGCATAATGTCTGACATACGGTCATAGCTCAGTAAACAGTAGCTGTTGTTTGTAGATGTTGATGTGGTTAGTATTATTAACAATGTAACAGGAAGAACATTGGCCTGGAAATCAGAAAAGCTCAGTTTTACAAAAGTAACTACATAACCTATTGCTTAACCTATTTTGCTTACTTGATCTATTTTGAGCCATAAGTTTCTCATCTTAAAAGGAGGAGTTTGGCCCAGATAACTTTCTAACTTTAGTATTTATGATTCTATGAATAAACTGGTCAGTATAGTGAAGGCCTCTCAGCTCCACCCCAAGTCCCTGAGTCTTTCCTGAAATATTCTTCAACCACAAGCAGGTCTTGTGTCTGGTGTTTCGTGAAAAGAACTGGAGCTGCACACCGGCCAGCTCTGTGTGGGTGCAGAATAGCTCTGCGGAACTGGAGGAAAAGACTTTTTTTGGGCAATGATTTCCAAAGCCAAGGACATTATGTCTACAAGTATCTTTTGGTACGGGTAGGTACACAGATAAAACTCAGACTTGTCTCCAAGACATATTGTTCCATTGTGAGTGAGAACTGAAGATCGATGGCTTCGTCCCATAGCCCCTGATGGAATTTAACCAGTTTAACTTGAAAACAAAGACATTTTCACCAGGGAAATAAAGTCCTCCAGACTGGCTCCAGTAAAGGACAGGCAGCATAGTAATTACCTCTTGCATCTACATGTCCTGTTGCCTCTACAAAGCTCTTTGTCATATATTATGCCATTTCATATGTACAATAACCATATAAGGTGGGTGGGGCAGCTATGAAGATCCCAATTAAATAAAAGAACAAGGAAGCTGATCTTCAGAAAGGTTTGTGACCTGCCTGGGATTGCACAGTTCATGAGGGTACATGCTTTGCCAGAGAAGCCGGGCTTGCTGGCTGCGTGGGTCGCCTGCACACCCCCCAACGCTGCGTCTGAGCAGCAGCAAGTCCTCCTTCTCCACTGGCTTCCTTGAAAATGGCCAGACATTTCAGCATCTCCATCACATAAAACTAAGCAAAGAGAAGTTTTCAGAGAAGGGTCTACAAGGGCAGCTTCTCGGACAGGCCTGCTGGGCGAACGTAAGGCGGGAGGGGAAGGACTGCCCTCACTCTCCATCCAGAAGTTCCATTACAGTCCTTACCAACAGAGGCTGTTAAACTACAGTCACTCCAATATGCACCAAAGTCACCTGTAAAGGGCTACAATCAATTCAAAAGCATAATTATTTAGGACATTTTATGGAGAGACTTATCTGCTTATTGTAAAGGAAAAACAGAGCAGGTCAGTATTTTGTTAACTGAATAAATCAAATGCTACAAGAAGAAATTCAGGTTCACGAATCAGAAGAAAGCTTATTCTTGGCCTATTCGTAATTTCGCTTAGTCAGTCCTGCAGACAGAAGATAGTGGCATAAGACGGGCCTCTCTCTGATTTTCCTCGCTTTGAAAAAGCGGGTGTGAAAAAGAAAGAATCCCCTTGTGGCTTCTCTCTGCCACATTCTGGGAGGCATCCTGTCCCCCCAGGGCTTTGTAATGGGGGGGCCCTGGCTGCGTGGTCCTGGGAGGGCCCTGGCTGCGTGGTCCTGGGAGGTGTTGAGTGGGCCTCCCATCACTCATTCTGACACAGGTGGCAAACAAGCAACGGTAGCTCTTGAGCCTTGGAGAAGCTGAACTGGATGACCCAGAAGGACTTTCCAGCTGAAAAACCAGAGATGTCCTTTTCTTCTTCTGGAAATCAACCAGCTGAGAGTGCCCAGACTGGTCCTTGTGCTTCTTGCAGGCACTAAGTCTGCCAAATAAAGAGGGAGAAAGATGAAATTCCCAGAGACCCTTAACCGATTTCCCCCTCACCTTGTCACGGGCAGGCCTACAGCCATGATCCGTGTGCTGGGAGACAGCCATGTCATATTGGAATGGTACTCCCAAGCCTTGGGAGACATGGCAGGCAGCGAGGTTTGGGAAAGGCAGATCTCTGCTGAGCTCCGCCTCCCATGGTACCCGCATGTTGCACCCTCCTGCTGGTGCCAGGCCTAAAAGTGTCCCAGAGATGTGGCTCTGAAGCCTGGTCTATCTCCAAACCCATTTAACTAGCTTCCCAAAGCTTGGGATCACTTTATTTCAGGTCTAGAAGAAAGCCCTCAAACTGGCTTTTTTTTTTTTTCACTATGGATTTCAATCTGCCAATCAGTGCAACATTTCATTTATCAAAATCCAAAGGCATCTGAATAAGAAGCCTACAGACAAATTGCAAATGCACCACTATCAGCCCCAGCCAGATTTAAAAGTAATAATGATCTCCACTTACCAAGAACCAGCTTTGCATGCGAGCAGCACTTTTGCTTTTCGTCTTCTCCAAAACCCCATGAGGTAGTGTTATTACTATTCCCACTTCACACTTGAGGAAAGAGACTCAGACGTGGCAGTATAATTAAGTGTATATAGGTTGTCAAAGGGGGACCCCTATATAAACCCAGGCTCCTGCCTGGAAGCAGCCTGGACTCTAGATGGACTAGGAGGAACAGAGCTTCGGACTAAAGAGAGATCTGGAACATGGGACTAGCTCATCAGTGTGTCCGAGTGCTGCTTTTCTCAGTTCCCTACTCACTGCCTCCCGTCCACTCTGATCTATACCCCATATTCTATAAAAGCAGTGTCTTCACAATGTCTCTTCTATCTCCACATCAGGAAATATATAGGTCAGACTTGGAAAGAAGGAAAGTTAAAAAGACTCAGGGAGGTTCCATGGGGCTCGGTATCAAAGCGTGTGTGTGGCACACGCGCACGCACACACTCACACTCACACACACAGACCGAGCCTGTCATGCGGCCTCGCGGCTGTGAACATGAAGGAGAGCCGCGACCCCGCTGCACCGCCACGGCGGCCTCCCCTCGGCCTGGGCACATTACAGAGCGCGTCTCAGTGACTGCCGCCACCCCGCCTGGCTGCTTTCACTTCCAGCTCTCCTCTGCCTTTCTCTCCTGACCTCTCTGTGCATTAGCTCCCTGCGGCTAGCTTGGTTTGTACTTCCCTCGGCCGCATGCATCTCCTCTCCCGCTCCGCACCGGCTGCTTTGGATGCCTGCATGGGTTTCCTCCCGCCTCTCGGCAGGGCCCACTGTGCCTGCTGTCTTCCAGGTTGTTAAGAATGGGTGTCAAATGAGGACAGACACCAGGTCTCCTGCTGGACGCCTCCCTGGGGCCCGCTACCGGCTCCCCCCTGCGAGGAGCACGGACAGGCCGGTGCTTACCCTCGAAGGCTTGCTCCGAACGCCAGCTCCGCCACGTGGGCTGGTTCTTGGCTTCCTCAGCCTCAGTTTTGTTTTTCGTGTGATGGGCACAACAAGCCCTTCCTCCAAGTGTTGGGAGAAGTTAATGAGATAATGGCATAGACCACTTAGCAGGTGACAGCTATTGGAAACTTTCTAGCCATTAATATTTTTATTAGGTTGGGACTTGTTCTGCACCGCTCGTGTGACACACGTTTTCCCTCATATTCACCCCTCTGCCTTTTACGTTTTTTAAACAAACATTACCCCAATCACCTTTGCAAGTAGGTGTTATTACCCCAGACTAGAAGTAAAGGAACAAAGTCACAGGCAGGTGATGTAACTTTCCCAAGGTCACGCCATTTGGAAGAAAGGCAACTGGGATTCATTAGTTCACCCTCTGACTCCGTCAGGAGACGGTCACGGGATGCTTCCAGTGCCGAGAGCTTGCCTGGGGGCTGAGGCAGCTGAGGTGGTCAGACATGGACCTGAGGTGGGGCACAGCCAAATGGAGAAACAGGAGGTAAGAAGACAACTGCAGAATAGCTTGATAAAAGTATTCAGACAGGCAGCCAGGGACCTGGGGGCTCCCCCAGGTGGCAGGACTCCAGAACCCATGGCTTTTCCACCACCCCTGAGCTGAACACAAACAGGCTGGATTGTGTCCTGCTCCCATGGCAAAGGACACATGGGAGGAGAAAGGAGCAATTCTGATATGGGGTAGCATTCAAGGAGACCATCCAAGAGTATGTGGCTTTATTAGAGACAGATTTTGGAGGAAGGGGACATAGGTAGAGAGGGAAGGAAAAGGCATGTCTCGATGGTAGGACTAACATGAACAAAGGCAGTGGGGCTTAGGGACATGGGATTCATGGTGGGCCAGACCATGAAGAGCCTAGAATGCCGTGGTAAGCAGCTTGGGCCTTATTTTGAAGCCAAAAAGTGAGCCACCTAAAAGGCAGGTCAAGACTGAAGCTGTTTTGGGTGGCAGCGTGTGCATGGAGGCTCGACTGGAGGGAGGAGAGTTTCAGGCAGGAAGACCGAGAAGGTCTATCATATCCATCAAGGTCAGTCTCGGTCATTATGACAGAGATGGAGGTGGTGGCATAGGATTCTCAGGACTTGGATTAGATATGAAAAGGGAGGGGGAGATGGAGGGTGGTCAGTCAGAGCTCTGTTATTTTGGCTAATCAAGCCAACACCCGGGGAAGGAGTATGGTAAATTATAGTCAACTTAAACACAAAAATATTTCCTAGGCCCGGAACAGGAAGAGCAAGAACATGACCGTAGGTAGTATACTGCTGAAAGAAGGAATGTGTCAATGGAAGGGAAACTGCCATTCCCGAAACAATTAAAAAGAAAATAAACCCAAATGTTAATCAACTGATGAACTGATAAACAAAATATGGCATATCTATGCTATGAAATATTACTTAGCCATAAAAAGAATGAAGTGCCAATACATGTTGCAACACAGATAAACCTCAAAAACAATTTGTTAATCGAAAAAAACCAGACACAACTGTCTACATCTTGTCTGACTCCATTTATGTGAAATATACAAAATAGGAAAATCAATACAAACAGAAAGATTAGTGGTTGTAAAGGGTGGAAAACTGGGAGTAACTGCTATCACGCATAGGGTTTCTTTCTGTAATAATGGAAATGTCCTAGCACTCCATAGTGGTGATAGTTTTATAACTTTGTGAATATACTAAAAACCATTGAATTGTACATTTTAAAATTGTCAATTTTATGTCATGTGAAATTTTACATTATGTGAATTATATCTCAGTAAAGAAGAATATATTTTATTAAAACCAAGATATCTAAAATATTATAGGTTGACTATCCCTAATCTGAAAATCCAAAACCCCAAATGTTCCAAAATCTGAAACTTTTTGAGCACCAACATGATACTCAAAGGAAATGCTCACTGGGGGATTTTGGATTTTGGATTTTTGGATTAGGGACGCTTAGCTGATAAGTATAATATAAATATTCCAAAGTCAGAACATAATCCAAAATCCAAAAAACTTCTGGTCCCAAGAATTTCAAATAAGGGACACTCAACCAGTATCATGTAAACAGTATAAAAATTTAATGAGGTAATTTACATTGATTTTTTTACATGCCAAGTCTTTTACATTTTGTGTATATTTTACAGCACATCTCGATTTGAATGTTACATTTTCTTCTAAAATACTGTATTTAGAGTTCATAAAATTTACAACAAAAATGTAGACTCACAAACCTAAGTTGTCTTATACGCATGCTTCAAAGTTTTCCAATGATAGAATTAAATATCAGTTTTTAAATTTTAGTTTGAATTAAAATTAAATAAAATTAAAATTTTGGCTCTTTAATTGCACTAGACACATTTCAGGTGCTCAGTGGCCACATGTGGCTAGTGGCCGCCATATCGAACAACGCAGGTATTTTTAAGGCGGACAACTAAGCCTATATTATTCTGTTGTTATCATTCTTAACCAGTGTTTTTATCCCCAGCACGATTCAATTATGATTGTTTCAGTCACTGTCCTATTTAAAGCAGAGCTATATATCTGGAGAAAAGAGTCTTTCAGGATTCCTCCTCTTCCCTGCTCCTTCACTCTGGAAGCAACGGCACCGAGGCGGCTTGTGTCAGCACCGTGGTGGAGGTGGGTTGCCCTCTAGTATCCTCTCCCCATCTCTTTCTTAGTAACACACCTCTCAATTTGTTTGGGGCAGCAGTGTGCCCAGCTACAAGAATGGCACAGTCTTGGCTAATGAAGTATAAGAGAAGCCTAACCCATCTGCAGAAGAGGGGCCACTGGTCTGTGTACAACGTCTGGGTCCCCTGCCCTTTACAATGGTGATGCAGCTGGTTCCGTCCGGCCTTTGGAGGTGCACCAATATCATCACCTGAACACTGCACCTTCTCCTTGTCCCAAAGCCAGGTCCCTTCCTGCCCACTCAGAGGTCTGTGTTCCCCCAGTGTACCATATGGGACTCTCTAGATCACACCACGTGCAGGCCATCTCTCTGCCTGACCATGCCACATTGTCCTTTCTGCTCTTCTACAGCCTCCCCCGGTAAGGTCGGCTCCTCCCAGATTTCCAAACTAGAAGTGGGGCACAAGCCCCCTCTGCCTTTGACTTTCCCTTTAATCCAACTGGGGACTCCATGATTTCTATATTCCGCTCTTCAAAAAAAATCCAAGCCATGGCTCAACAGTAGTCACACCTGTCCCAAACCTCTTGGCTCTTGCTGTTATTCATGCTTTTATGTATTATTTCAGTTGCAAGAGAACTACTATTCTGCTATCATCTTCTGCATTTTCTCTATCTTATATCTTGTGGTAAACCATGAACATATACCCCCAAGGTGTGCTTTTCAGGCCATCTCTAAACTAGAAAAAAATAAATGGAATCCAACACGGATGATCTTCACTTTGGACTTTCAGTGAGTTTAGGCTGCACCACACTCATTGCTCATTGGCGTGGGATACCTCAGGAAATTGTGAACATGCAGAGTTGCACA